ATATATTTTAAGAAATGCATTTTAGCCCAGCTGGTGTGGCTCAGCGGTTGAGCATCAGCCTATGAACCAGGAGGTTATGATTCGATTCCCAGTCAGGGCACATGCCCAGGTTGCGGACTCGATCCACAGTAGGGCGTGTGCAGGAGGCAGTTGATCAGTGATTCTCTCTCATCACTGATGTTTCTATCTCTCTCCCTCTCCCTTCCTCCCTGAAATCAATAAAAATATGTATTTTAAATGAAATTAATTTCAGAGCTCTGTATTTCTTATGTGTGTAGAGGGGCATGTGTGCATGTGCTGTGTAACATAGGGAAAATGAATAAACCAGGGGCTGCCATGTGACTCAGATGTCAAAGAATTAGAAGGTAGGTAGTGTCAAAAGGTTTCCAAATGAAGACTCTCTGTTTTCACTTGTTAACACAGAGTGAAATGACTTGTAAAGGCTTTGAAAGTTCAATGTAGAATCATATGCCCAAATATTAAATTTAATAGAAGTAAACAACTGAATCCACGTACCTTCACCGCAATTGAGTACTGTTCTGCATATTTTTGACATTCATCCATTTTGCTCTGTTTCATTTCTATTTCTGACACCAGCATCTATAAATACACACAATTTAGATGAAAAAGGACAAGGAATTCTATGCTACTCAACTACTTAAGATGCTCAAGAACTAAGAAATATCCACATCATTTAAAAGTATAGCTCCTTAACCCTTAGCACATAATATGTAATGTGCCTAATGGGTAAATCACAAACTTCTAGATTAAGCCATATAAGTGACCCACCCACATGGGTCACTTTCTCAAAGCAGAAAGTACAAAACTTCATAAAAGTTAGTCAAAAGTAGACTTAAGCCCTTGGCCCCCACCTATTCCTGATCATAACAGAGCTAAAAATTATTGGCTCCTCAAAGACAGAAAAAAAAAATCTCAAAGCACTAAACTTTGTCAAATATGGCTGTTTAATTTTCTACCACTAACCATTTTCATTTATTTAGGATCCCACAAAACTATTGTGACCACCTAGTACCAAAGAGATTTCCATACTATGATTAAATGATCACTAGGAATTTGAAAATTACCCCAACATGTTAACTTCTTATTCCTTATGCTTTCAAAATGACTTCCAAGAAATCAAAGTAAGTGATATGTGTAGGTTTGCACTGCAAGATTTTAGTATTTCTGATTTTTCCTACCTTCTTCCAAATAGCTTTTTGCTTCTTCTTTTAACAAGGGAAAGGAAGATAAAGGTCATTACTGACCAAAGGCAGACACAGCCCTAGCACAGGGAATTGTGTTCACATACCTTCTGTTGATTCAGCTGTGTGGCTAGGGTTTTACTATTTTCAGGCTGATTTTCCTGAATCTTCCTCTGAGTAATTTCAACTTGTTGGATCCAGTCATCTAAAGGGTGATAGGTATCTCTGTAGTACTTCAGCGATTTGCCAATGCCTTCTAAGTCCCGTAACCTAAAAAACATAACAGAATAGTCACAGTTTCCAATAGCATCCATTAGAAGGGTGATAGATGTAGTGAAGAAGGGAGAGACAGAATAACTGTACTGCAATGCACTCAGTACAACAATTCAAGGGTACAGCACTCTGAAGCACATCTCTAAGGGCAATCACTTTGGCTCGGGTTCAATCTAAATATTTTATTTATGGAGTTATACATGTGATTATCCTAGGGACAAGCCCAAGAGACTAAAGCTAAAAAGCAGGAAAACTAGAAACTTAACCATAACCATTATCAATCAGCATGCCTTGAATACCCAAAGCTTGCATCAAACGGCAGTTCACTTTAGAAATAAGGACAAGATAGTTCAATGAATGGTTCAACATGGACTGAGAGAGGACTTTCCAGGAGTTGTGATTAAATGCTTCAGTCTCTATGATTTAAAATCACTAAATTAAACCTACAAATCACATATGTTATAGAGATGAGATATTCTATGTTTGAATATAATTTTACTTCTCAAGAATGGTCCTATATCATAAAAGCATTTTCTTTGCATTAATGTAAACATGAAATTAATGAGAAAAGACACTATTCTGTTTCTTTTAAGGTGGAGACCTAAAACCATCTGATTTCCTTTCACTTTTTTATTTTATTTATTTTCAATGTTCTTATATCTTCCATAAAAGTGAACATCAGGTCACTGCAATTTCTTTACACTTCTTAGGTCTAGTATAGAGTGCTACATGGCTCATGTTCTTACTAAGTCTTGTAAGTTGGTAAAAATTTTGAATTATTTAAATATCGTGTTTGAATACTGTAAGCTGAAATAAATGAACTATATTGTTTTACCCTTCAGAAAAAAAGCAAGTAGATTAGCTATCCAAATACCAGAGTATATCAATAGTTTTAATAACATAAAATTGAAAATATTTATTTTGAAGTTAAATGTCTTATTTAAATCCAACATTTAAGAAATAAATATAGTTAGATAGAGCTCTTGAAGCGAACACAATCTATATATATAAAAGGCTAATATGAAAAGTGTCCCCTTGGGAGTTCGATTGCTCACTATGCCGTGCGCTGACCACCAGGAAGCAGCACGGAATGAAGGAAGGTCCAACCAGCAGCTGGGGAAGGGAGGCCCCGGCCAGCAGCTGGAAGCTGGGGAAGGGAGGCCCCAGCCAGCAGCCGGAAGGCCCCAATCAGCCCTGATCACCAGCCAGGCCTAGGGACCATACCGGTGCATGAATTTTGTGCACCGGGCCTCTAGTTAAGTATATGTCAAAATTAACTATGTATATGAAATTAACTATATATAAGAGATTTTAAAACAGCCTAATAAGTTTAGATTTTACCTAGATATAAGGATATACATTAAATCTGTACTAAACCTGAACAAAAAAAAGATACTAACCTGTTGTCAATCTGAACATGAACATTTTGCCACCTTTCGGCTAACTGATCAGCCTTTTCTTTGTGCCAGTCAAAATCAAGGTCCCGTTCTTTGTATGTCTTAAACATTTCATCACTGATGGCTTTAGCCTTCTGCAGCTCATCCTCCAATGAGTGGAATACCTCTCTCTTTTCATCTACTTCAGCCCGCCATTGCTAAAATACATTAATAGGTGAAATTTATAAAAATGTGTCAACCACTCACTGGGCAAACACGTTATTTACCTAATTTTATAATTTATTTACAGCAGTCACTTGACTGCTATAAAATCAGAGAAAGGAAAAAGTATCTTTCATATACAAAAATAATGTATTAGGTTGAACCTGATGAGATTGCCAATATTTGATTGAACTTTGATCTTAAAAAAACACCTGACAATTTAATAAAGTTCAGCCTAATGAAATTTACATATCAATAAAGCAAAATATATTCCATAAGCAAGTCTGCTACCTCCGTAAGTTGTTTTCATTGATTATGTTTAAGATATTTACTAATTTCATTGCTTAAAAATGAATGTACACATTAAAAATCACTAATATAACTTTGCACCATTGTTTTTCAATAGTTACACTCAGTTCTTTATACACATTTACAGATACAGATGAGTACAACCACCAGTCTTTTTCCTTTCTTAGATTAATTCCTCTATTTGCCTCCTTGACTTTTTTTTTTAAATATATTTTATTGGTTTTTTACAGAGAGGAAGGGAGAGGGACAGAGAGTTAGAAACATCAATGAGAGAGAAACATTGATCAGCTGTTTCCTGCACACCTCCTAATGGGGATGTGCCCACAACCAAGGTACATGCCCTTCACCGGAATCGAACCCGGGACCCTTCGGTCCACAGGTTGACGCTCTATCCACTGAGCCAAACCAGTTAGGGCTGCCTCCTTGACTTTTAAAATAACTGTCTCTTTCAGCAAGAGAATAAATTACAAATAATTTAATTTTTAGCTTCAACTCCTCTTGCTGCCAATATGAACTGATTATAAAAAGCTAATGTCAAGAAGATTCAAACTTTCAAGCTCTCTCCTCAAATTACAAATGCCTAAACATACTTATCTGCAGTAAGCTATGGCATTATAGAGATATGCCAACAGAATGAATGTAAATATAATCAAATTAAGATATTTAACAGTTGATGTTTGAAGATTGAAATGCTAGAGAAATATTTTTAAAGTATGAACTTGAAAAACAGCCAACGGTGAGACTCATACCTTTAAAGTACTTATTAGATTCTCAATATTATTCTTGTCTGCTGTCACTGCTTCTTCTTCACACAGTTTCATTTCATACAGTTTTACAAGGGCTTCTGCAGCTTGAGTGTATTTTAACACCAAATTAACAGTTTTCAACCTAATAAGGAGAATTAAACAACAGCCTTCTATTGGTAAATGTTTATTTTCCCATAACACAGTCCTGAAGCACCATTATGACACATAATATAGCATGTTCTTCATGTTGGAACACTGACATATTACGTACAAGACATATGCAGCTGACTGTCTTCTTGATAGATAGTATGGACCACAAGTGATATTTAGCAAGAGATTCCAAGATAAGATGGTCTTCTTTCAAGCCTTGGTTAGACCAAGCTTGAGAGGAAAAATCCTACAGACTCAACAGCTGAGCTATTAAAACTTTAGGCAAAATGTGGGAAGATCATACACTGCGCCCTAATCTCTGTGGCACATTCCCTTTCAACATGAAGAAGCATCATTAATCTATAGAAATACTTAATATATTGGTAAGAGAAAATAAAAGTGAATTACAAATATTCATAAAATGAATATTTTAAATGTGCAGCACAGATGTAAAAATAGGACAGTTGTCTGAAGCAAATTTACGTTAAGACAGTGGTCACATACTTCTCTATGTAGATGGAAGACATAGAGTAGACTTGGTTCATGTTCTGAAGGACCACACTCAGCTCAGAGCGTAAGGTAGGGACTGATGTAGAGGCTGCTGCCTGACTGAAAAAGTCTTCACATTTATTTGTGATTGTTCCCAAATCATCTTTAAGATGCTCCAGCTCTTTCTTTAGTTTCTATGAAAGAGAGAACAAACATTGGCATTAGGTTTTCACTCCAGATGGGGCATCTTTCTTTAAACAGTTTTTGTGTGCTTGCTTATTTTTTGTTAATCCTCATCTGAGGATATTTTTTCCATTGATTTTTAGAGAGTGGAAGGGAGGGATGGCGGAGAAGACAAAGGGAGGAACAGAGGGAGAGAGGGATAGAGAGAGGGAGAGGAAGGAACATTGATGTGAGACACATGGATTGGTTGCCTCCCGCAGGCGCCCCAACCCGGCCGGAGATGGAACCCAGGTACATGCCCCTGACTGACAATTGAACCCTCAACCCTCCCGTGTGCAGGCTGACACTCTAACCACTGTGCAACACCAGCCAGGGCTCTTTCAACAGTTTTAAAACTCACGTTTTACATTATGATCATTGACTTACAAATTATGCATATTCTTTACTTTTTCTTTATCAAAGGAACTAAGCCATAGTATCAGGTTTTGTTATCAATAATTCCCTTATTGCTCATCTTTTCAAGCCCAATTGTCTAACTTAGTGCTTTTGCATGTAGCATATGGTCAACAAACGTGTAATGATTTGCACTGTGAGAAGCCCTTACAGCCTCCACCATGATAGGTAAAAGGGAACCTATTTACCTGAGTCAGAGGTAGAACTGAATTAAAGAATGCTGGTTCACAATAAACCATAAGAGCATAATCAGACCTTATGAAGTGATCACTGGGCAAAGTTGAGCATGTAAGAAGTTACAGGAGTTGGCAGTCATTAAGATAGTAATTTACTTTAAGTTAAATTTTACCCCAACACATTTACAAATCTCACCTCCTGCTCTGTGATTCTGAACACGCTTTCATGCAAATCGTCTCTTTCCAGTGGAGTTCGGATCTGTCTGATCAACCGATCTTCACAGTTCTCTAACCGCAGTCTAATGTTTCTCACTTCAGAGATGTAGAGATTATAAACTGATTCCTCTTGCTCCTCTGTGAACGTAAATATAATGTTTGGAAAACATCTTATTTTCTATCATTTGGATGCTCTTGCTCATGTTTTATTATGGCAGTTTTATTACTACTGGAACATAGTGAGTCAGACTAATGTTACCAGATATCATCACAAACCCACCCTAAGGATATAAACCTTAAAATAGTGACCTTACAATTTACAAAGAGTTAATAAAATTTCCCTAATGCCATTTGAAGTACCCATTTCTATCGTATCATGTCCAAGGAAAGTAATATATTGCTCTTTTATGTTCAGGAAAATGTGAATTGTATTAGTTGCAGATTACCTAAAAAATTAAATAAAAATCCTTAAAATGAACGGTAGATTAAAATATGTTCATGTTTAAAATTTTAAAAAATAGAATATTACTAATACAGCTTTTGTTTCTAAGTAATATCAGAAGAGTTTATATTAAAATTTATATTAAACAAAAATTAACTAGACAAAAATCTTTTCCTTTAACCCCTTGTGTAAAACCCCACTTTGGTTATGGAAAATCCCTATACCTTCCTCTCAGTTTTGCTGTGAATCTAAAGATCCTCTAAAGAAGAAAGTCTTGTTTTAAAGTCCAAGTTTGGTACATGGAAAAATAACTGAATCTTTTCTGAAATGAAAAGATCATCATTCTGAACACTACATTGCAAAATCACGAAAATGTTGAAAAGCAGATGCATTAAGATGCCGTCATTTGTCATACTATTTGGTTGGCATCTTTTTATTAATTCATCAACTAGAAAAAAATTAATCCCTTTTTGCATATTCCCACCTGAAACATGCTTTTAATTTTTCCACAACTGTGTCTACCTATCATAGGCTGATAGGTAGCACAACACACCTAAGACTGAAATTCCCATTGAGAGCAGAAATAGCCTGTATTAAACACCTATGGGGGGGGGGGCACGGGGGGGTGGAGACGAGGATCCCCATACTTTACCTCTTTCTGCAGATTTCAGAAGTTCTTGGTAATACTGCTTACACACATTAACCTCCTTTTCCAGCTGTGTGATATCTGGGCCTGAAAATATCTGGGATTCCTGGCTATCTTCCAGAAAATCTTCAAAACGAGACTGTAGATTACTCAGTACTTGCTGATGTTCACCAGGTAACATTGTCTTTACCTAGAGAAGACCAATGATCATATAATTGAGTGACTATAGTACTGAGTTAAAATTAAATGGGACAGATCTCAGGTTAAAGTTTCATGGTATAGGCCAGTTCAAATCAATAGCCATAAATACAAGAACCATTTGAAATTAATTTTCCTCTTTGCTAACAATTTCAGGTTTTAAAAAACAAAGAACAAGACTCTAAAACTCATGAAATGAAATTAAACTGGACTCATCTCTAGAAGTCCAAACACTATATCCTGTCTCCCTATCAAAATATAAGCACTAAGTGGAATATGTGATCTCCAGATGATCCAATTCTTAGAAAGTGCCCCGTAAATAGTAAGTATATAATAGCATGGAATGAATGAACGAATACTGGCTCCGCTGGACTCCATCCTATTGTACAGCAAATACAAACTCTACTCTTCATGACAAAGTGCCCTACATTTTTGGACAGATTAGGTTGATGTGTAGATTTACACTTACTGAAGCCACATTGCTAGCTCGAATTTTATCAATTTCGTTGATGAGATAGTGCCAGGATACTACACTCTTCATGTTTATGTGAGTCTCATGCCAAAGAGTTAGGACATTCTGGTACTGTTGTTCAATTCTGAAATACATGAAAGGAAACACAGATTAAGCCTTTTCCCTCCCTTTGAACACATGCTACAATTTCTCTTTTTTCTTTCTTTTTTTTTATTTAATGTATGCGTGTGTGGGTGTGAAATAGCCCATGTTTGCTAGTTTTAGATCCTTCTGATCCTGTGGGCCCTGACAAAGTATTGATTATTTCTTTAACCTTCAGAGAGCTTCCCAAACCAGGGGTCTGTTTTTAGCTAATGCATACGCACCTGTTTGCAAAGTCAACAGCTTCTTTGTTTGGTGGAGGGACTGAGAAGCACACAGAGGGGACCATGGCCTCATTCCCTGTGGGGCTGATGACCTTCCATTTAGCGCGATGAGAGTTGTTTGCCAGAACACATTCATCGTCTTTGTAAATGGTTATCTGGTTTCAAATGAAGAACAGAACAACCAAATGAGATCATTGTTGACTAATCTTTTTTTCCATACCCAATCTTGGGATTACTTTTTGTTGTTTTTTCTTAAGGTGGAAAACTTTACTCGTGAGCAATATGACCTCACTTTTTAAATATATGAACAAGACCAGAAACTGGTCTGTTTCTAGGAGCTTAAGTACCTCAATTTGTCTGTAGTCACAGATGGCTTTGATTGGAATAGATGTTTTGAGTGGACAGTCAGGATTCCTTGGCTTCAGCTGAATTATGGTTTTTGCTCTCCCCACCAGGCTTGCCACTGTGCTTTTATACTGCAAGAGCTCTTCTTTCTCCTCCTAAGTAATAAATAAGATGATTTTAAATGGCAGAAGACTTGTGGTCTCTGTTGTTTGGGGGCTTTACAGAAATGCAACCATCAGAGAAGCTGCCCTGACCCCAAGGTCTAAACTTTCAACCCCTCCCCAACCACTCTTACATCTCCCTTCCCTGGTTTTGTTTGTTTCATTGTTTTCTTCCTCCTTAGCATTTACTATTGTCTAACATACACATATATTTTACTGATTTACCATGTTTATTGTCTACGCCCACCTCTAGCCTGTAAGCACCATGAGGGTAGGGATTTCTTATGTTTTGTTCATACTCTACCTCCAGCACCAAAAACAGTACCTATGATACAGAAAGTACTTAAGTATTTGTACTTGAATGAACGCGCGCGCACACACACACACACACACACACACACACACAAAACACTGTTTAAGCATTTAAAAATATCAAAGCTATCATAAAAAAATACTTTTTTATGCTACCAAAAAATACTAAAACTGAATGTTTAAATGCTTGATTGAACAAAGTGGAATTATCAAGAGCACTAATGAAATATTCAGTCGTGCTTCCTATAAAAATATAATAAAAACCACCGAATTCCCATTTTACATTACTAATGAAACTCCTAGGTAATCTTCTTAGTACCATTGATTCCTGAACAAGGTCTTCCAGCTTGTGAATGCTGCTGGATCTATCACAGCTGTACTTCCGCTGAATGGCATCTTTCAGATTCCTCAAGTAATCAGTGGCTTCTTTGGCGTCATTGAAAAACTAGGGAAAGATGAAAACTGGTAGTTAAAGTATATTATATGCCAGTAAAGTACAGAGTTACCAAGTTCAATTACCAGGCCCCTGTGTGTACCCCACATCGGTGAGAACAGAATAAAATCAAAACAATGCAACGTAATAGCCACATCTCTCCTTTATCCAAACAACTCTTGAACTTGGATAATTACAAATGAACAGTATATGTCCAAGGTTTGTTAGATTCCAAACAATTCTTAGGTAGGGGCGAAAGTCCAAGAGTAATTTAAAACTTCTGAAGAAGAATACATTTTTAAAAAGAGTTCTTGGTAATGACTCTCTGTAATGAAAATACTTCCTTAGTAAGAGATGTATTTGTAAAATAACGATTTTTTTGACACTTTAAGATTGTTTTTATTAAGGATTTCCTCCTTAATAGAATGCTTCAAGGTATCCTTTAAGTCTTACAAACAAAACATTTCAGTTTATTTCCCCTGCACCTTAGGTACATGTGTCTGACAATAAATGATGAAAGCATTCTCTGTGAGTCAGCCAAAATCACAATGCCATGGACAGAAGTGGCGATTCCATCACATACCTCGAAATAGGCGGTGTTCTCCTTTATGTGCTGCTCCACACACTGGCAGAGCTGCAAGACCCAGCTCCACTGTGTCTGCATTGCCGCTCGGTAGGCCTGAGAGGTAAAACGCACTCACTGTCAGTGGGGAGAACAATGACATCCATACACAGCAATGCTTTCAAAAGATAAAAGACTCTACTATCTACATAGATGGTAAGATTTTGTTGTTGTTTTTTTAGCAGATTAAGACTTGAAAATTAGGGTAGTGAATGTCCCTCTAATCTAAGATTATCACTTGCCCAAAGCCAGTCCTAGAAGTTTAAATGTCAACTTTTTAAATCAGTCCAGTCAATTTCTTTCAAATTTGAAAGTTTGTTTTTTTCTTAAAATATATGGAGGAAGCTAATCTTACATGAAAAGGAAATTTAACATTTGAAATGGATGCAAGCTGACCCTTTACTCCTTTCTCACCACTCCTTTTTCTACTCTGTGGAATCCTTGCATTTCCTTTCCTTTATGACACTGTCCTTCATCTTTCTTTCTTCTCTCTGAATTTTTGTATTACTGGATCATAAAATACGCCTTTGACACAAAATACATAGTCTTGTAGTTTTCTCTTTGTTTTTGCTTCTAAAACTAGGCCAGAAGCTGTTGGGACTGGGGAAATTAATTTCTTTGTTTTTACCAGGAAAATATTTAGGGGGGTGGTGGTAGGGTAGAGAAGAGAGTATGCAATCAATCCTATATCACTGTAATTCTGGAGTTATAAAAATCATAATACTAGAAATTTTTATTAAAACATGTTTGCTTTAACCTTTAAGACAAAGCATATCTTTCATGAGGGCAAAAATATTGTATAAGATACCTCCTTAGGGGAACATGAAATACCCTTTTATATTTAAGGTGCAATTCACTGCCTTCCAGAAGAGGGCGCTCTAGATGCTTTAAGTAAGCCTATCATACTTCCTCCTTTTGGAAAACCTCATTCCTGCTGAGCCTATGTTCAGGCAAGCTTTTGAATGGAATGTACGTGCATTTCCCAACTGCACTGGAAATCCGGCAACATGTCATGATCATATTACCTGTTCCCCCAAGTGAAGCCACTTTGAGTAAAATGGCTATAAAAGACCTATCGTGCATTGTTAGATTAGTAGTTTCTTTTTCATATAAAATGTGAAATATTGTTGATAACCATTATCCATTCGTACCCACAAGACATTGCCTAGGCCAATGGAATCATAAAGATGACTAATCTTATCCCCAAGAAACATGCAATTAGATGAACATTTCTACATAAAAGTAATCAGGTCCACATCCACATTTTCTATTTCCATCACAATTCTTAACCTATAATCATATTTCCTAACAGCTTTCATCTCTCTACTCTGAGGACAATTCCATTTTTAGTTTATCATCGTACAAAAGTGTATCCAGACCCTTCATTACTCTAATTTCCTTTCCTTATTATCCCTCCTGCTCTTGTGTCTTTAAGATTCCTATATGGCATTTCATGTGGATGCAAAACCCTATTTTCATATAAAAGAAGGTCAAATGTAACATTCCCAAAACTCCCCAATGAGACCTGAAATTTTACTAATCTTTTGAGTCATGATGATTTCAGTGAACAAAGATATTTCTTTCCTCAACTGAGGCACTGTGAAGCACGTCCCGTTGTAAGCACAGCTTCATTTTCCTCTGGAAACACACCACATCTATCCATGTCTGATGCTCCTTGCCACCTTACTTAACCTCTCCTCCCCCTCTTGTTAGTCAGATTTAGAAATTCACTAACTCTAACCAGTATATATCAGGCCAGAAAATTAAACACACCACCACCACCACCACCGCCACCACCACCGCCGCTGCCACACGGGCAACCCGATAAATCCCACATCAATTCTCCACCTTCTGGATTAGAAATGTGCACTCCAGTGAGGCCTTTCCAGGGTGTTATTTCAATGCACCTCACAAAACTAGATCATAAGTACAATTATTAATTAAATAACAGTAACTAATACATCTTAAGAACATACTACACACCATAAACTATACTAAGTAGTAACCTTACATTATTGCTCTCATTCTCACCACAGCTCTTCAGGTTAGAAGCAATTTTCCCATTTGGGTAGGTAGGTGAGGCTTAGCAAGGTTACATCACTTGTGCAATGGCACAAGGCAGGAGGAAATAAAACATCACAGCTTGAAAAGTCAAGGTCCTTCGTATTTACTGCAATTCACCTCTTGGGTTACAGGGTTGACAAAGGCACCTTTACTTTAAGTGATGGGCAGGTGACACACGTAGATCAAGGAAAGTGAAGGCAAATCAGTATGATGTGTGAGAAACATCACTGTTGAGCCAGGTTGTAATAAAAATTGGATAGCTGGCATTTTTTAATTTGTCAGCAATAAAAAAAATACATAGGGTGATAATCGAATGTGGATATTCAAGCATGACTATTACGCCTCCTGACTCACCTCAATAGTTAATCGGGCTGGGTGGTTTTCCAGAAGTAGCTGCTCTGCTATCTCCTGAACTGACTTAATATTTTCTTCCTTTTGCTCCAGTTCTCTCATTAATTCCTAATTCAAGAAAGAGTTCAGAAATGTGTTAGAAAAATATCTAAACCTGAAATACCACTTTAATATTCAATTACCGAAGTTGCGCTTACAGCATGGTAATCTTTTTTCCGGGATATGTGGGTATTTCTTTCACTCCAGTCATAAGCAACTTCCTCTTCTTCTTTTTCATTCAACCAAATAAGTTCATTCGTGGCACGAGTTATAAAATTATGGAGGGTATCAAGGTGCCGTTCCTGATTCCTGGATGTGTTCTTTATAAGGGAAACCATTGTAAGAATCATGTCTTTGCCAAACAGAGATGAAGGAAACAGAAAATGTAAAAAAAAAAAAAAACTTACCAACAGTTTTGCATACAGACTCTCTAACCTGTGCAACTTTTCTGCGTAAGTTAGCTTAAGAGGCGCCGTCATTTGGATCTATAACATGGTATAAGAGAGACACCAAGGTTAGGAATCTTGAAGAATTCTGATTCCTACTCAATGTATCTATTATCTTGTCACAGTGTCTTTACATGAAAAGCAATACAACAGTAAGCTAAAATGAAATAGATACAGATTTTGATATACCTCACTGATCTTAGCTTCTTTAAGGCTACATTCAAATTCTTCAATAGCTCGGTGAACATTTTTATGATTTTCTAAATGGCTTTCAACACTTGGCAAATCTGATCCCCATTCAGTGCGGTCCAGCTGCCCCTTTAAACAGAAAGACTCTAGGTTAAAAAAAAAAAAAGAAAAAAGAAACTGATAGCAATAAAGATGGAAACTTTCAGGTAAACACTTTCTTACCTGCATCTCATCAACCCAATTCAAAAGATCCTGAACAAATTTCATGTTGATTTCCTCTTCTGTTAAGTTCTGATCCAACAAAGAAGACTTTAGAAGGGGCTTTCGGATCTGCATCAACTTCAGGGTTTGCAATGCATTTGTCTCTACTCCTGAATTAAAATTTGGAACTAATCCTGTTGGGAAACCAGGTGTATAAACTGGAGTGAGGGATGGAGTCAGGCGGGAAGTCAGACCTGATGACAGGCCAGATTTCACACTAGAAGGGGTCAGGGAAGGCGTTAAACTCTGGGTCAGCCCTGAGTTCAGACTGGGGTTTAAGGTCTGTGCAAATCCTGAGTTTAAACTTTGAGTGATTCCTGATATCATGAGCTTCGTCTGTTCTGTCGTCAGCATGCGTCCTTTGCTGTACACTGAGGAACATTCATTCCTTAAGGCCATAATTTCATCGCGCAGTTTTGCGACCCTGAAAAGAAAATCAAAAGGGATGAACTATAATATAAACGGCATTCTTTATAAAGAGCGAGCTCTAAGGTAAACTATGGACTTTCGTTAACGATAATGTGTCAATACTGGTTCATCAATTGTAACACATGTATCACACTAATGCAAGATGTTAATAGGAGGAGTCATATCAGGAGGCATATGGGAACTCTGTATTTTCCAGCCAGTTGTTCTGTTAATCTAAACTGCTAAGTCAAGTCTATTATTTGAAAAATTCATTGTAATCATATTGATAAAATTTTACACCACATTTTTTTCACAGAATTGTACCATGAGCACTTTCATTATCACACAGTCTTTATAACTATCATTTATAATGAACATAATTACTAAACTATGATGTGATAATTCTCCTCTTATTTGACCTTTAGGAAATTTCCAAATTTTTTGTTATTATAAAACATTTCTCATCTAAACCAAAAGTTTTTTTATCTGTATTTATTTAAATGTTTTATTGTTATAATTCCTAAATTGTTATTGATTCCTAAAAGTGGAACAACAGAATTAAAGCATCATTTACAATTTTTGCTTTTTTAACTCTAGGTTTTTTTTTAACTCTAGACTTTTAACTCTAACTTTTTTTTAACAAAAGGACAGGGCATGAATAGGTAAGTAGCACATTTACCTCTGTACCAACTGATCTGCATGGTAGTATTTTCCATCAATCAGTATCTGCACATCGATTACATGCTGGCGTAAGAGGTTCTCACATTCAAGTATATAGCCGGCAATTTCTGCTTCATTCTGAAACTGCACCCCCGATTCTAATCTTTTAGAATCCTGTATTTTAAGAGAAGTCAATATTAATTTTGTGAAACAAAGTTTCAAAACTAGTAAGATATATTGGAACACAAGGCTACTTGAGTTCTCTTTTTTCCCTTACGGTTCAAAAATATGTTTTGCCTCTGTTGACTATTTCTCCATAGAGCAAATTCTGCTCATAATATTTAACAAACCTTAAGTTTCAGTTGACAAAAATACCAAGAATTGACCAAATGCTATGCAAACGTTTTAGTTCATCCAAATTCACAGATTCCTTTCCCACAATTCCAAAGGCTCCTAAAATTAACTTACAGCCTGAAGAGCATTTCGAGCAAGTATCAGTTTGTCTCCACAGATGACACTGTCCCTTTGAACTCGGTGGGCAATCTGCTGTAACATTTCCAACCTGAAAGAAGGAACAAAAGAGAATATAGCCTTTCCCTCCGAAGTCGCAGAGTTCACAATCGCTGAAAAATGCCGTCCGCTGAGACTAAAACACAATCCCACACCAGCGATTCAATACCTGTGTCCATCCACGGATTCATTGCCGAAGCTAATGCAGGAGTTGATCAGTGTTGGCCCGCAATGAACAGAGAGAAAATTTTCATTTGAATCAAGGCTGGTTCGAGTGCTAGTAGTGTTACTAAACACAGAATCACTACTATGGTAGCTGTAACTACTACTGTGCATTTTTATTCCTGAAATGATATTCCTTCTTGACCAGTAAAAGTAGACTAAAAAGTAGGTCTGCAGAAAGCTCTACTTCTAACGGTGAAAAAGTGGCAGCTGAATGTTACTGCTTTAATGGCTCCTTAAATATGCTCCTACATGCATACGCAACACACAGAAAATAATACGCTGATAACTATTCAAAAGAATCTCGCCTAAAGCCACGAGTTTGCTAGCTGAGGTTTGCCTTTTGTAGCTTGCGTTAAAACCCTGCAAGTATGGACAAGGCAGGCTGATGGGGCGGCACTGAAAAAAAACCTGGCCAAATATTTTCACCAAGTGTCATCCAATTGCAACCACCTAAAAAACAACTCAGATGCCTCATCGAAGCCCAGGTACAATTAGTAAAAGTTAGTCAGGCAATAGCAATCATCAGCTAAAAAACCACAAATATTCAATTACAGCCTGACTTTTATAAAGGGCCAGGTCTGTACCCAAATAACAATAAGGCTGAATGGTGGCATTTATAAGCATGTGTAAACAAATTCATGTGATGAGAAAGAAAGTACATTCCCGTTTAAGTAGCATGTCATTTGTCAGGTTAAATTAACTGGAGAATGACCTATTTACCTTTCTTTAAGTGACATGCTCTCAGAAATGTGACTCTAATCTTACTACAGTTACTTTATATTTTTAAAAGCCAAAGTGCTAAGTAGACTATTGAGACAATGCTTGCAAATTTCATTTGTCTATGCTTGTTTTTCCTTTCCTGGGAAAGAATTTCTCATTTGTCTTCTACACACTCCCATGCCACATAGCTATTATTTGCAATATATATAGTTAATGCTAAATAACTTGTTGTTTCAAGAAAACTTAAAGTATTTATCCAAACAAGCTCCTAAATATCTTCTTAACCCCCAACACTACAAAGCCAAACTTGCTTTGATTTTTTTTGGAAGGCAAAAAAGGGGGAATTTGAAAGTGCCATATCAAATACAGTATGTCCCCAAAAACTGTATGCACACTTTAACAGCTGACAGCTCAGTTTTGAAAATGAAATGTATTTTAATAAACACTGCCTTTATAATTAGTCAAAGTGTATGTATACTTTTTGAGGTGGACATCCTATATAGTTAGTAAACAGAAAATCTCAAAATAGTAACAGCAGCACCTAATGTTTATTAAGCAATTATTATGTGCCTGGAAATCAACTAATCATTTTACATACACCACTTCACCTCATACTCATAACCACCAAATGTGGTAGATACTACTACATCCTCTTCACCAATGAGGAAACTGAGGCTTAAAGAGATGAATAACCTTGTCTAGAATGACGTGGCTTGCAAGTTGAGCTACTAATTTAATCCGGGATGGACGGATTCCTGGACCTGGAACTCCTACACTGCCTTCTTTTGCTAACATATAGTTAACTCCAGCTACTATTCTGATGACTAAAAAATCAACTCCATATCCCTTCTCTAGCAGACTTGGCCATTACTCCAGATGATTAACTTAGTATCTCACTTGAATCGCCTACAAATGCCTCCTCCATAAAAGTTCCATCCCGTGTATTTCAAGTTTATTTTCGTTCCAATGATCCAGTTGTGTTGATATAATATTAAGCTTTAACAAGAGTGTGAGCAGTAATTTCATAAAGGGCTGACAAGTTAGACTTGCCCTCGTATTGTCACTGCTTTATGTCCCATTTCAACAACGTTGAGGTCAAGTGTGGGGCACAGAGAGCATGAGTGTACTGAGCGCCTCTCCATGTGCCTGGCACCATGTTAAACATTGGCCACACAAAGAGCAGTGAAAACACGTTTTTCTCCACATTTTTGGAGCTCATAGCAGTGGAACAGGTAACCCTTAATCAAATGATCACAGAAATAAATACAGAATTACAACAGAGATAAGTGCCATGAAGGAACAACACATGTAAACACAAGAGTTATAATAAACAAGACGTCTGCACCAGCCTAGGAGACCATGGAAAATTTCTTGAGGAAGTAACACTGGAGCCGCGATCTGAGAATGATGAGGAGTAAAGAGAGCGGGGCAGGATGAACTGGACTTCCCTGCCAAAGGAACAGAGGGCTGCAAACCTCCTGGGTATGGAGGAGGGTGGGACCTTGGCACTCAGAGCTCCCGAGAGAGCCAGTGTGGCTGCGGGAAGAGAGCGAGGAGGGTGTGGTGTGAGAAAGGCGGAGAGTGGAAGCCCAGGCCCATGGAGCTCACAGCTAACGAGGAACAGAGATCCCAATTTCCACTGGTCAGGCTGGGAGGGAAGGACTAGAACGAAGACAAATGCATCCAACACATGTCTCCCAAGGCACCTGCCAGGGCCACTGAGTAGAGGAGTAGAGACAGAATGATGAAGTCAGTGACAATTTCATGGAATAAATGCACTTGTAGAAGTGTCCAAAGGGGAACTTAACCCGATATTTACTGAGTGTTTTCTGGAAGCCACTTCACTGTCCTGTAAACGGCGGCAATCTAGACTCTGGTTTCCATGGCCCCACAAAAAGAGGGTCACAGCCAAAACTATAAGAAGCAAAATAAGTTCTTTATTTTTTAAGCTTCCGGATCTAGGCCCTGGTGCTTTAAAAGCCAGTCAGAGGAAGATAAGTATCACAAGATCTCACTCATATGTGGAATCTAGTGAACAAAATAAACTGATGAACAAAACAGATCCAGAGACATGGAAGCATGGAACAGACTGTCAAATCTCAGCGGGAAGGGGGGCAGGGTGGGATGAGATTAACCAAAGAACTTATATGCATAACCCGTGGACACAGCAGTGAAGGTGGGGGGACAGGGTCAATAGGGAAAAAAATAAAAGCCAGTTTGAGAAATTCTCATGGCTACTTGGATAGGCTTTAAACCTGTTACCATCTTATTAGATGAGACTTCACAGACCAACCCAGCCTATCGGATCTTTTTTGAACATTTACTTCACTGTTTTAATCCCTCAAACCTCTTAGAAGAGTTTCTAGATAAGAAAATGAAACATCAGAAAGATTGAGTGACTTATCCAAGGTCACACAGCCAGGGAAACAGAAAAGGGAAATGATGGTCCTAGGTCATCCTGGCTCCAAAATGTAAGTTCTTTCCATGAGAACAAAGAGACACCCACTCATCCTCCGGGTTTCCATGGCAAAAATAACTCGGCTTACCTTTCTACTTCTGGACGCAGCGCCTTCTCCCTCTCGAGCATGGCAATGATGAGCTTCCCCCACTCTTTTTCTATGTCATTTGGATGATAACCTTGAAGGAGTTTGATGCGTCCAAATTCTATCCAAATCTGGAGAAAATTTAAAAAAATTAATTCAAAGCAAGTATGTAAAAACAAGTAAATGAATAATTACACTTGACAAAAAAAGGAAATTTCTGCTTACCTCTAATAATTTATATAGGCGTTTGATTTTTGATTTTTCTGTCTCCTTTGGGGGAATTTCTGTTTCTTTAAACTGTAAATACTGATTGTAAAGTGCCTAAAATGAAAGGGAAAATAAATGAAGGCTCAACATTCAAAGACCTGTTTTCATTATGGCATAATGTTACCACTTCAAATGCTATCGACTGTGTCCCATGCATTCAGTGGAATTCTTTTATAAAATTGATACTCAAGGCCTATACCAACTGCCAGCGACTGGGTTATGTAAGACTTGATGAGGGTGTAACTACTGATGTGTGCTGTGATTCAGCAGGTGCCACACCAGTGTCTAGATCAGTGGTTCTCAACCTGTGGGTCGCGACCCCTTTGGCGGTCAAACGACCCTTTCACAGGGGTCGCCTAAGACCATCCTGCATATCAGATATTTACATTACGATTCATAACAGTAGCAACATTACAGTTATGAAGTAGCAACGAAAATAATTTTATGGTTGGGTCACAACATGAGGAACTATATTTAAAGGGCCAGAAGGTTGAGAACCACTGGTCTAGATAATGAACCGTGGTAGAACTTACTACGGCTCTATTAACAGTCTCATCAAACAAACAAGAAAACACATCCTAAAAGACACACTTTCTGCCCTACCTGGTCTGGCTCAGTGGGTAGAGCGTCAGCCTGTGGATCAAAGGGTCCTGAGTTTGATTCCGGTCAAGGGCACATACCTTGGTCCCAGGCTCCTCCCTGGCTCAGGCCCTGGTCAGGGCTCACGCAGGAGGCAACCAATCAATGTGTTTCTCTCACATCAATGTTTCTCTCTGTCTGTCTGTCTCTCTTCCACTCTCTAAAAAAATGTTCAGGTGAGGATTTTTTTAAAAAAAAGAAAAACATACTTTCCAACTGTGGCAAATTAGCTTTTGGAAAAATAATCTGATACAATTTCCATAAAGGGGGAAAAAAACCTGTTCTTGTCTATTCCAAGGATTTATCCTTGAAAACAGAATTCTTATCAGATAGACGGAGTTAAAACTTGAGGTCAATGTCCCACTGGCTAAGTTAAACAGATCTCTTAGTCAACAGAGATAGATGTTAAAGGTTACTGCTTTATTATAGACATTTCAACTATGTAATTAAATTATTATCTAGTTTGCAGATACTAATTTGGAATCTCTTATTATATTTACTAAAAAGGACCTTCATAAAAATGATGTAGATAAAGCATCTCCACATTTAATAAGTGTATACTAATTATTTCATCCTGATTCATGCTGTTGTTGTTTTTTTAAAAAGTCCCTTTTGATCTTTAGACAGATACATTTCTGAAGGACTCCTTTCAATGTTCTGCTAGCTAATAACATTACTAGCATTTTCTCCACATATTTTTTATTTTTTATACTAGAGGCCCGTTGCACAAAGAGATTCATGCAATAGGCCTTCCTTCCCCTGGCTGCCAGCACCAGTTTTCCTCCGGCACCCAGGACCCAGGCCTTTGATCTGACCGCAGCAGAGAAGCCAAGCCTCTTCAGTCTTCAGTCGTCTTCAGTCTTCGCTCTGCGCCTGCATATGCAAATTAACCGCCATCTTTGTTGGGTTAATTTGCATACTCATCCTGATTGGCTGGTGGGCATAGCAGAGTACCACCAATTTGCATGTTTCTCTTTTATTAGTGTAGATTATATCCTATCCCAGGCACCAGCAAGTAACCTGGGTATTCATTCACTCAAACTTTTCCCAAAACTTTAAGAATCTGCATTAATCAGAAGCCAGTACAAATTTACCCAAGTGTCTGACAATAGGAATCCACTTGGAAACAATTTGAACTTGAAATCTGAAAATTGTTTTGGTTGTAAAACACAATGTTTCAAGACGTCCATCAGTAAATAAGCACAGAGTGCCATTCTAGGCTAAACGCTGCTCGTGGTAGATGTGGTGATAGAGGGGGGATCCTTCTTGTCCTGGAAATGTTTACATCCACATAGGGAGACTTCACACAAACAACTTCAGAGCAGTTAAAAAGCATCCTATCAACACGGGCCAAGTTGACTGCGTGCCAAGGACAAACTCCCCTGGCACTGTGAACGGAGAGCTGCTTCACAGATGGTCTGCACAGATGCTTGAACACAGTGAATAACTTGAACAGGGTCCGCCCTGGGTCACTGCAGTCTTTGTGATTCCAGTGCGATCATGAAAACAAAGCTTATAATTCAAGGAATTAGACTTTACCGTTAATATTCACATTGTATGTTTCTTGAAAGAAAGGAGGCTATTTTGTTATTATAGATCCTAATACATATACAAAGTGAGACAACACATTCTTCAATTAAGTTTATATATCTATAGTGTCTTTTATATTTCTATAATATCTTTGCCTCAAGGAGTTAGACCTGTTTTTAGGTAGTAGCAAATTTTTTTAAAATATATTTTTATTGATTTCAGACAGGAAGGGAGAGGGAGAGATAGAAACATCATTGATAGAGAGAATCATTGATCGGCTACCTCCTGCACACCCCACATTGGGGATCAAGCCCACAATCCAAAGAATGTGCCCTGACCAGGAATCGAACCATGACCTCTGGTTCATAGGTCAAAGCTCAATCATTGAGCCACACTGACCGGGTAGTAGTAGCAAATGTTTTACTAAACCATGAATACATTTATCCCAGAGGTCAGGTATGTATTTTCAAATTCATAGTGAAGTAGAGTAAGGACCTCTTGCTATACAAAAGGATCTAAAGTGACTTTATAGGATTCGACACCATAGGCACAGTCTTAACCACGGTCACCCTTGTGCAAGCTTCCCAGGGTCCCTCCAACCACGGCCATCTGGTAAACTTCAAACATTTCCCACACACCAAAATCAATTTGGCAAGGTCACCTCCAGAGACTCAAACCTTAAACCCTCAATTCAAAACTAAGGGACTATAAGTTCATTTAAGATATTGTTGCTATTATGTTTTAATTACTAATGTTTACCTCTATTTTCTCTGTATAATGGGGAGATGAGTACATTTTTTAAATGCCTATTTATTAATGGCTTGTCAAGGGCAATTTTTCTTCAACTTCTAAATAACAGAATTGCCTTGGTCAGGTAGCTCAGATGGTTAGAGCACCATCCCAATACGCTAAGGTTGCAGGTTCAATCTGTAGTCAGGGCACATAGTAGAACAATCAGCCAATGAATGCATAAATAAGTGGAATAAAAAATCAATGTTTCTCTTTCTCTGCCTCTCTCTCTAAAATCAATCAATAAATAACATTTAAAATAACAGAATTATTACAGCATTATTTACAAGTTAAATATCAAGTTAATCCTATTTAACCCCTATAGTGCCACTGACCTTCAGTTCTACGGGATTATTGGGAAATGCTCTCTCAGACATTGTGGTCACATGGTGTCGAATCCACTGGATGAGGTAGTTCACCATATTCTGATATTCAATCCATTTGACTTCAACATCCTAGAACAAGAAAATGACAGGAAAAGCCCATGGCTGTAGATAGTAAGATTCATATCTAACACAATTTAGTCAAAGGTCATTCTGTGTATTTACATATCTTTAATCCGGCTAAATGGTTTACTTCTCACGCAGTCCTCATCCTTTCCATGCATCCCAATCCTTCCCACGTACACAGCTTTAAAACCATGCTATCCACAGTGGCCTGATGACTGCCAATTCCTATCCAGAGACAGGGCTGCCTGGGCACTGTGTGGAGAAAGGTTCTGAGGCAGCGCCCAAGCACAGCAGAAAAGACTTCCACAATCAACTGGCCAGGGGCTCAAGAAGGGGAAATGACAGCTTGCATAAGCCAAGTTGGTTGCCACTCTGTCAACCTTTTTAGATCTAAGTCCCCTTTATGTATGAAACTCAAAAGAGCTATAAGTTATGTAAGAAACCAGACAGGAATGAAAACTACAGGAAATATCTATGGTGAGATTACTCAAGTACTCATTTTGCAAACTTTTTTAAATGGAGAAAACTGGAAGGTTGTCAACTGCTATATTCAATTATATATTTGATAAATTCTCATTATGTTCACAAAGCATTGTGCTAAGTGTCGTAATAAAAATATATTGCTTGAAGACATAATACCTATTATCAAAGTGTTACTGTCTAGATGGGGAGACAAGAGAGATTCATAATATGAACAGCTGAGCAAAATGAAAAGCAGTATTCAATTAAGTGTTGAAATAACTGGTAGTATATGCTAGGAGTTGAGATAAGAATCAGGTAAGCATCAGTGTGCCTAAAGTGGTCACTAAAAGCTCCTTGGGAAGAGGTTCTCAATCCCTGAGCAGTTCTCAAACTTCCAGTAATTGTTG